ACACCGCAATACGCCGAGAATAAACAACAAAAAGTACACGTAAATCAGTGAAGGCTTTTTACGTGTATTTATTAGTAAATTCATTACCTTTTAGCCTTCACTGATTTACGTGTATTTATTGTTGTTTATTCTCGGCGTATTGCGGTGTTTCTTATTTGCTGCATTTTTATCGACTTTTCGCCGCAAGAACTCCTTGGAGCCTGTCGAGCAGCCTGCTACAGTGGCCTTTTTTTCATTCACACATTTGATCAATACGCCTGCTAGTTTTTATTTCAGAAAGTATTTACAATGAATGCATGTTTGTTTTTTATATCATCGTTATCATTTAAATCAACAGCGTTAAAAAAATCTCAAAATGCAATCAATTACTTCTCAGCCTAACACCACAATACTTGAAAATCACATCCATCAACTTGCCAATCAGCAATCGAGGGAAATTCATCTGAACATTTAGTCTCTATGATCAAAAATCCATGCTTTGAAATTATTCTGAAACGAATTTAGCAGACTAGCCTATTGTGCATTACTTAATAGAAGTGAGGTGTAGAATTGCAAATATAACTTGTAAGATGAGAAAAAGTGAAGTTTAGAAAAATATCGTAGTGGGTTTCATTTGCACATCTTTCTCGAAATGTGTTACTTCTTGTCTGTTGGCCATCAATAGAAACGGTATGACATCGTGTCCAAGCTTTCAAGCATTTCAATTCGCACCATATAATAAATATTCTGATTTAGGAATAAATCTTGGACTTTAGTGGGGTCTGTAGCCCCGATAAACTTCCTTTTATACCTTTAAATTTCTATTTCTTGATCCATTTTTTCTACGATTTTATGATATCTATATTATAAAAACAGGCTAGTCGGATAATAATTGACTACGGCAATACAGAGATTTGTAATTTTAGTTTAACTGAAATTCAAAATACAAGTGGTTTATTATCGTATCAATTTGTAATGTATCTAAACTTCAATTTGCAGTAAGAAGTTTTTGCAGTTGTACAAAATTTGGTTGCAAACCTGTTGAAATGTTCCTTAAGATTATATGAATAAAACTTTTAGGAAAAAGACCCGGAAAAAGACCATAATGTAAGCCTCAGCTCGGTTTATACAAAAGTCCTTGGCCAAAAGGTTTTTGTCTCAAGGCTTTTGGTAGATTTTGTAGGTTAATTTCGATAAAGGTCCTGTTAATTCCATGCTGCAAAAATATGAATGTGTGAAGATGAACAATGGCCAGACCTTTGGTTGAAAGAAGATATCACATGTTGCATTTGAAAGTTCCTTCTTGAAATGCTTGAACACAAGTCATATTATCAAGGTACAAAGCTATTTTTAAAATATCAAAGATAGAAGCAAGACTTCACTGAAAGTCAAAGCAATAGCTCTCTAAGCAAACCTTACTGCAGGCATGTTTAAAAACAAAAAATCATGCTTCACAGCTCCTTAGAGGCAATGACGTTAACGACATCAGCTCTCTGTTATGTGATGAGATTTATTGCAGCAAAGTCGCTAAAGATCGCAACTTGATTTGCAATGATCTTTTTTTACTTTCGCTGTCGTGATAGGAAATATGTTTGATTTTTTCAAGGCAAAACCAACGCTTTATCTTTGTTTTGTAGACCAATGCTCACGTCAATGAATCAGTAATCCTTTATTCTTAGAGGTAGTTGTTAAACGACAGGAAAGAGTTCTACGAATAACTAAACCTTTGAAGTATAGCGTTATCTATTTGCAGAAACTTTTTAAGTTTTTTTCAAATACCCGATAATATAATTCAGCTTTTTCTTCTATTGAAGACAAAAAGTCAAACTTCCGCTAATATTTATTGCAGTTTAGTGGGACTTCTAGAAATAGGCAAGGGAAAACAAAACCAAGAAAGTTACTCGAAAATATCTAAGGAGCTGATTCTTCCTCTGGGTAGAGCACTTCTAAAGACGCCGTGGTGAAAAGAAGATCAAAAGAAGTCGATTGACCTAACAGAGACAGTATATTTTTTGTAATAGCAAGTTCTTAGCGCATTCCTTTTGAATATTTCAAGAATCTCATGGATTACGATGATGAAGATTGATAAACTTTGTTTTGTTAAGTGAAACGGTGACTTTAACATGAGCAAATCAAAGCATGGCACTTAATTTCCAATAAGTTTGAATTAAATATCAACTTGTGTATGAAATATGAAATACATTGCTGTCTTTAGAAGAGCTTTGGAAGACTATCCCCTGAATGAGACAAACACGACTTCTAGGCAAATCAGCATTTTGTATATTGATTCGATATTTCTATTATCTTATTATCTGCATTCTACTTTTTTATATTTATATGTAAACTGAAAGGGTCATAAAAGAATCATAAAAGAATGCTAGAGAATCATAAAAAATATGCAAAGAGAAAAGTTGAATTCTTTGTCATCCATTTCAAAACATCTTATATTTTCAAAGATATTATGTATTGTAAAAGATTTGACGCAAGGCTAGCTGTGCATTTCAAATAACTACTTTTGAGCGGTTAAATTTAACGCTGTAAATAGAACGTTGTGAAATTTGCTGGAAAATTCTATATGTATCTCACAAACTTGGATGGAATCAGTTTTGCTATCAAATGAAGTCTGCAATACACTTTCAGAAATTCGATCCAATCTCAGGTTTTTTTTCAGGCTCAGTCCGCATTTCTTCAAATTTAGCTAAGTGAGTATTTTTCGTAGATGAAATCAATCTCAAGCCTTCCAGTTCGCTGGAATTGCTTTCATACAGGTTGCTCTATATCGAAATAGCTTTTAACTTAAAGCGAGGTAACACTTTTTACTAGGTGTCTGCTGCTAAAGGTTTCTTCTACATGGCTTTGATAGTAAAAAAGCTCGATAAAAAAAGAAAGCAAAGCATGGTTGTCTGTTATTCGGTTGTAAAAATTTGTCAGTACAGCGTATAATTTATAATAAAATGTCTAACTGAAAATTGATCAAGATATGATACTTCTTCACACTTCACGGCACCTCAAAATTATTCTAACTTAAATGAGTTTAGAATTTAGAAGATACTGTGAGCCCTTAAAAAATAAAAACAGTGTATCCTAAGTTATTCGTGTAGCTTCTGGAAAACTGTTAGCAAACTCCCACCTTTTGTGTTATGTAATGTTACTCTCTAAACAAAGTTGCAAGATTCATTGACAAACGGAGCAGCACCAACGAAGGGGTCAGTGGGGTCCGTTGCTCCCGTACATTCTTAATAATTAAAGCCAAAACCTCTTTTATGCTATTCAACTTCGAAGTTCAAGGAGCGAACCTGGACGACTTGTTAAATAGGATAATGAATAACAAGATCATGACCTATGCAAACGGCAAGAGATGTATCGTGAATATCAAAGCATTTTGATTTAACACAAGGCCAAGCAAGCATTTTATGTACACAGCCAGAAAGATATATAAAGTGCTGAAAATTTGTTTTAAATCTTCAGTAGTATTTCGCCTAAACAAGGTGCATTTTATTAAGCTATGCAATATCAAAAGGACATACAGCTCGGAGATCGGAACACCTGAACTCGTGCAATGTGCTAAACAGAAATAACAGTTGATAAATCAACATCGGTAGTATTTCTCTTGAACACGGAGTATTTTATTTAACTGTAAAATATCAAAAAGACGTAGCGGCTCGGAGCTCGATTCGTATTGCAGTGGCGTAACGGAAGCATCATCGGCCCGAAGAAAAAGCTGAGACGGGACCCCTATTCACGGACTGTAAGAAAAACTCATCCAAGTATGAAGAGCAAATCAAGCACAAACATTTTGAAACGATATTTCTCTCGTTACCTGGCTAGAGCTTAGTTTTGTGCATCAATTAAGAAACATTTAATGTTTTTGAAAATAAGGGGAACGTATTCTTGAAAACATGGATATAAAAATTTGGGGGGCCATTTTAAGTCGACCCAGTCTAGTTATCGAGCTAAGTTGCCCTGAACCGATTATAAGTGTCAGGATGAGCATTCGATCCGCAAAAGCACAACTACTCCACAAAAAGATCCTCAAAGGTCACGTGTTTGCACGACCAAGCAGAAAAAATGTCCACGAGTACATTTACACATTTCGCTGATGACACGACCTCCGTCTACATTTGCACGTGTTTGCACGACCTCCGTGCTTGCATTTAAGGCTACTTCATATGGTTGTATTCAATTTTAAGCATTCTACAGTCTTTGTTAGTTCTTGTGATTTAAAAAACATAAGATAAGATATATATCTCATTGATTGTAACAAAAACAATCAATTCAAAAGTATTAATTCAAAGCATATCAGAAATAAAAATCTAAACAGTAAAAGCAGAGTCTGCAACGATAATTTTCCGTCATCTGAAAAAACCATAGAAAAAATAACAAGAAACCAAAACCTAGTAAGCCGACATAAAACTTGGCAGCCACAAAAATTGCCTATCACAAGTACAAAGACATTGTAGAATAAGTTATACTTGAAGCAATAGGTTATTATTAATTTTGACTTATATTTAGAAATAATACAATTAAATGTCATAAAAGTGTAATAGCAAATGTAAATATATAAAATTAAATTCTATTACGCCAATACATTTGATAAATATGCTGAGATATGACTTCAATGTTAAACGTAAACAAACTCTCACGAAAGTCAGCGGTGCAAGACACAGAGTATACTTTGAACACAGAGAATTTCCAAAAATCAGTTTTTAAAGTGCCTTAAAACAGTTGTTTCCTTTTTTTGCAAACAATTGCATCACGATCTTTCAAAGTCAGTTGTTTTTTCATGCATTCAGCTATACTTAAGAATTCCGTAATTACGTTTGGAAATCTAGCAGTTAGATTTTGATACCCAAATACAGGTTTTACTATCCCAACTAAGTCTTTTTAGTTCTTGATTATTAAGTAAACATTTCTAGTGATCTTTTCTTGTACTTTGGTGACCGAACATCTCACTTTTACAAAGCAAAATGAAATTCCAAGACGAAGTAAGCAATAAAAGAACTGCATAGCTGACAACATACCTTCTTATTTACATTTTTTCTTATGAGCAGCGCTCAAACGATGCAATAGCGTTGTGCTTCTCCATCACACGTCTTTGAGAGCTCAAGTCTACAGTCTGCACAAAAGCGATTTGCTAAGTGAATCGACACCGGAAAGAAATCGCTGTTTGAAATAACAGGCAGATGTTCCTGCGAACAAAAGACACCAAAATCATTAAGACGGGGAAGGGAACACCTGAAAGGACAGATTACCTTGCAATGTGCTAAACAGCAATAACGTTGTGCTATCAACACCGACATTTCTTTCCACATTTGCACTTCAGATGGCAAACCATTTATTTGTAATTTATCAATAATCAAGAGCTAAAAGGTGCCTTAAAAGCTGCCAAAATTAAGTGCAAGCACAGATTTAGCTATGCTGTCAAGACACGATAAGGTAATGGCAATAATGAAGATACTGACTTCTCAATATTATTTTGAATATCTACTTTTAAACTACTTTCTATTCTAAGTTCAAAAGATAATGCTATCTTTCTCCAAATGCGGTAGCTATGGGCCTCTTCGTGCTTTCGTAAAGATTTTTTTTGATCATAAAAAAGAACAATTTTTGAAAAACTTTGCAACGATATTGTTTATTTTGTAAAAATCTAAAAACGATTTTCGTCATCCGCACAATCATGTTCTTAGTGAAAAATTTATTAAAAAATTTTAGAATGAAAACAAAACATTAGAAAGTATAGATATAATAAATTCTGGTTAAAATCTATAGCAGTGACAATTGATAAATGAATTATACTATTTATCAGCTGTAGACTCAACAAGCTATAAGCTGTTATATATAATTGTGGTCAAACTGTGCAATGTATTTTTTATAATTACTTGTATGTTGATAATAACATAGATTTGTTATACTAAAATTTCAGTTTTCAAGCAATCGACAAATTTTTGGACACAAAGAAGAAGGCCTCTGTCAATCAATGTCTTTTTTTCGCATGTCTACACTAAGTAGCTTCATCAGGACCTCTTACTAGTTTAATCATGACAATTCAGCATAATAGCCAACATGAAAACATTTCGAACAGGAATGAAAACGATGTTATCAATCAGCGACACCTATTCACAGGCTGGTAGTGACTGATTTTATTAAGGCTTCCACCTTTATCATGTATATGTTGATGACTCCATAACAGGAAAAAGAGCCCAACAGCTGTCATGGTAATACTCTCGACACATCAGCTAGTGTTTCATCAAGTCAGTAGCCCTTATTGATTTCTGGCATATCTTCATCTTTTTGCTTATCTGGTTTTGACTGTCTGGTTATAACGACCAGGTATCTATGATTGTCTTCATCAATTTTGTTAAACTTTCCACAATGATGACATCTTGCTTTTTGCAAACGATTAGATATTTAAGTGAAAGGAGAAATTTCTGTTCATTGTGGTGGCATTGAACTGACGTCTTTCTAATTGGCACCAACGAACTTTACTAAGTAGGCCATAAAATTTTGCTTTTCCGCATTTATGCCCTATTCTTACGATTGTTATATTGATATATACAGCAGAAAGTTTAGCAATCTTGGCAGCCTTCCAATAAAGTCATCAACCTAAACATTAAAATATATTGTTAGGTTCGTTAATGCTTTGTTCCAAGCTGCTCAAAGAAGTCTAGAGTGTTTGGCGAAATAACGTTAAAGCATTCAGTCATGCGCGCACCACAAAACAAACAAAATGCTGGGGAAAGCATGGACGCTAATTGAATTAAGTCAGAGCAACCCAGCAGATGTTTATGCTATTCAAATGGAAAGCTACATGACGTTATATCAAATCTGTACAATCTCCTCGTGAATGTTCTAGAACTAATATGCCATCATCAGTGGGAAATCTTAACAAGATTAGCTGAAAATATATATCATGTAGCTGAGCTTTTTATAGAAAAAGTGTTTAGCATAATACATTTGTTGGCAAAGCAAATCTAGCAAGCTGTAACCCATTTAGAATAAAGTATCGGCATTATTTTTTGTCATTTATTTTCATGCCTTTTAATGAAAAGTCCACCTACACTTATAGATAAACATCCATAATTGAAATTTCAAGTTATTTGTAGCCTGTGCAATTAAGATAGTTCTTATGAATGGATTTATCGTTAGCATAATATTTTCTTCAATTCAGTTCTGCTAAAACAAGCATTGCACAATCAAATTGAGAAACCTGATTGCGTATAGCCAAGACTGAGCGAACAAAAACAGGTTTTTACAACCCAAATCAACTTCTAGTCAAGGATTTGCCATCTGTTTCTAACAGAATTCAAAGAACTGTTCCAAATGCTTCGTGCATTTTCAATTTGATAACGTGGCGTAGAATTTCCGAACAAACAGTCGTAGTATCCCCGTGGGAATCAACCGTCAACTGACAAAAGACAAACTCGGTGGTGTTTTTATTAATTAATATTTAAAGGAATATAACTTAAACGTCGAGAATAATGATTGTTTGCTTCTTTTTTACAATCAATTAACGATGAATTAATGCGAATAAAAAATCAAATACATCTTTAAAAATTTCTCATGAACCTGCTAATATGAAGCAAAATATTCTCTTAACAGAAACCTGAAAATTTTTTTAAGTAACATAAAATAACTTCACATGACAGATCATGGTAGATAATTAAACTTGATTAAATGCTTTTGTTGTTTCTTCTCCTGATTAACTACGTTGACCAGATTGTTTGCTCGAATTACTAAAACTCAATCGATTCAATGGCCTAAATTTATTTATAGCATCCACCAAACTTTATAATATATCTTTTAAACATGTCAACACCATTCATTATATATCGGTTTGGAGATGAATGTATGAAAAAAAGAATTATCAAAGCAAAGCTCTTTTGAAGACTGAGCAATTCAACGACCCTGCGCAGCAGCTGCAAATTAACATACAACTAACTACTATTTCTCCCATGCTATACTGTAAAGATTCCTAAATTCTTCTCAATCTTCGTGCACAAACGAGAAGACATTCCATATTCACAACAGTTTTAACAAAAATGCAAGAATACAGTATTAGACCAAATGGTGTAGTCTTGGGTGTGGCTCCTTTAGATTTTCTACGGCACAGCCCACTTCCTGGCTTTTTAGGACGGCGCCCCTGATGACGAGTTTGGCTAGCATAGGGCTAAACAAATCTACCATGTCTCCTCTGCAGAATGTTGGAACGGTTGCTACACTGGTTCAGTGCAACACTGCAATACGCTATTCACATTCAAACAGTAGCGGAAACTATGGAGGTTTGGGGGGAGGGGGGCTCTGGCGTAAGTACTAAATAATCAATCAAACAATATATGACCAAAATCAAAACTGCTTGCTAATTGTATATTTAATTTCAATTTCGTAAAGATTAGCTAAAATTTCCATCGGATTCTTCTGAATCAAAGTTATTTTCCACCGACAAAAACAAAACAAAATGCATAAAATGAACATATCTCTTTTCAAAAGTGTAATCGGTTGACCTCTTGTATCATCAATTATCTTAGATGAGATATCAATCTTGTTTTAAAAAACATAAATGGATTGTTCTTCTTGCTACTTAATTATGGCGTTGTCAGCAAAGATTTCTAAAGGGTCTCGTCAAAAAATCATCTATTTTAATCAAATTGTGCAGTTCCTTTAAAATTAGACATGATCCGAAATGTTACCTTGTCGGAAAATCGTAGACCTGCCCCCCAAATAAAAGCCTGAATTCCCCCCACTGCATTCAAATATTATTACTGTTTCTTACCAAAATATGAGGCTTCTTCCTTGGTTGAGAAAAAGACTGTTGCGCCGTGATTCTCACTTCCGCAAAAATTAAATCTCGTGGTTTACTTTTGAATCTCTTATTCTCTACTGCTCGCTGAAAGTTCAAAAATCTCAGATGTGTCTCTTCGCAAACTTTCCATGCATGCTCATATTACATGACGTGATCCGAACGTTAAATGTTACAGAAAACGGGTTTCTGTTTCTCGTATTGCTTGCTAGCTCTGATAAAGTACAGTGTGCATGTGATGCACTAATGCCCCTTCATATACTGCACTGTTCTCTAGCGGTAGAATCTTGTGAAAACGTCATATGTTTAAACTACGATTAAGTACGCCTAGGTCCAAATAACCGAAAACACACATTTCAGGCTCAAAGACACGTGTTTCACATTTCAAAGCTGAAGAACTGGCCGCAAAACCACGTGCTTTTTAGTGCAAAACTCGTAATTAGTATCAAACACGAGAGAACGATCGACGTCATACAATGAAAGGGGTAAGGGAGCCAGCTAATTGCGAATGTTAAAGACTCTGTTTGGCCTTGAGATCTACTGCATGAAAACCTCCTCTGACGCATGAACGCTGATATTGTGTTTTAATTTTCCCGAAATATGAAATAATCATTTAGCGCACAGGTGAAGTTATCATTTGACCTAAAAATGTTTAATATCATAGCCGAGAAGGAGACAGATACAAGAGATAGAGCGGACAAATTCAGATATTGACAGTTGCCTGTCCAGGTAGAATTAATAAGCGAGATTGGAAAACGCCTACAGCAACGTTTAAAACTCAGAAAAATCTACAAGGAAAGCAGATTTTATCAAGGGGTCATAGCAAAAAACATAAATGATGCATGCTAATTGAAAAAAAGCTAAAAAATATCCAAGCTTTTCAATTTTTTATGATGCATTTTGACATAATGACAAGTGTTTTCAGTAATAGGGAGCTATTTTCCAATGGTTTGCTTTGTTTCATGATCTCCATTCATGTGTACTTGATGAGAGGATCAACGCAAGATTCGTTAAGAAAGTACAACAGAATGAGAAATCAGTTGATAAGGCTAGGGTAATTTTTGCATAAAAGAGATACACAGACAATAATCCGTGTTTATATCAAACGTCAGTATAAACTATCAGAAAAGGACAGTTATGATGGTTATGATCGATTTTACAAATTTTTCTAGATGCTTTGTCAAAATTACATGCTTGTCCATTCATCGGCAGTTCAAATCAACCAGATACACAATTGAATTCGAGTGAGATATCCTAATTGCTTCTCATTTCTGCCCCCTAAACAGTTGCGTCATTCATTAAAAGGCTAGGCCTTCATTCATTTCGAAATATCAGAACAATTTTTTAATCACCAAAGACTGCCCCATCTTAATTCTTCAACACTGAAGTGGG